CATACCGATCGAAAGCCAGGTAATTCTCTGCGTAAACTTTGTCAAGCTTTTTGTTCTCTGCCTCAAGGACTGCTAATCGATGGAATGCTGCTGTCTTTTAAGAGAAGAAACAAAATTAAGACAAAGAAACCTAGTTTTTTAGAGACTCTTTGCTAGATATATGGAGGTTGCCAGTTCATTTTAGCCGTAGGCCGTGATGTATGTGTGGTCGTCATCATTTAGACTGTGCACCAAAGGCTGCAGGATAAAATTTGCGGTGTTTCCACTGGGGAAGGAGTCAGGAGGACATCTGTGCGCGAAGTAGACCAGACGGTTTCGCTCAGGTGACTAAGTGACTATTATCCATGAAGCACGTTTGGAAGAGCTGTAGAAGTGCCTTACAACCAGATACAGTAGCAGTACGACCCTCTAACAAAGTAGCTGCTCGTAGCACGGCCTGAACTAACTTCAGTGTCAGAGTTCGTTTTCATTGCATGTACAAAATTTCATTTTCGGAAATGCACCGGACCAGCCCCTTTTATTCTTGGGTCGTCTCGCATTCCAGTGTCACCGCAGAATGGCTACATTGTTGTTGGATGGCGGCAGTTTCCCGTTCGGTTGTTCCTTCATGTCATTATGTCCATCCGTCTGACCAACGGTTAGTTCTGTGGAAGGACAGGGGTACCTGACAGGCGCTGTACCGAGTAGCACAGCGATGCCATACCCTGCTACCTCTGCTCGTGATGACCCACCCCCTTTGGCCATTATGTCTGTTCGTCGCGAACAACGTCCTTTAACGCAGACCTGCAGTCGCTTTGCAGAATTTCCTTCGCTCAAGCATTGAAAATTTTCCGAAAAAGATATTATGACGTTGGAGTCGATATGAAGGCTTTCGAATGAAAAACTGGAGTCAAATTAACGATTACATGCTGGCTTGAAAATTTGACTTCATGCTTTTACATACGACACAATGCCCTTGATGTAGGAGGACCAATTTCGGCTTGAGTTTTCAGTTCTCTTCAGCTGAGTGATGAAACTCACCGATTTGTTCAATTTTAAATGTACTGTGTTGTGTGCGTATGCATTGAGTAAAATTTTTAGTTGCTAATGTTCAGGACCATTAAACATCAAGCTTCTTTGAATTGCTACGCAAACATGCCAGTTTGATCCACGAATGACGCACTCATCTTCGGGTGGCGTAATTGAAATGAACCAAACATATCCGATTATGCTTAGATATTTCAGTTCACCGACCACAGAAGATGCCTGAACAGAGCCAGTGTCATATTTTTCGATCCATTCTGTTGAGCACCGTACAAGTCTTTGTTCCACTAATGTACCTACATTAACGTTCTGTCGGTCAGAGAGAGTCGCAGAATCGTTGAATGAGCAGCATTGACGATTCAGCATCTTTTGTCGATCGCTGACATGTCAATTCTGTATGTTATTGAACAGTGAAATGCTCATGTGCCAGTGGCGAAAATGATATTACCAAGCGTTGAGTCTTAAAAGCAAAACCGCAAGGTTCATTTCAACCTCATTTTTGAATCCTACCTTATATAACAGCGGTGCAATAGCAGTGGAAAATTTTCAATAGCATTTGGGTTTTGGTTCTTCAGATATTCATTCTTGCTGTTAAATGAATTTCGGAGCTGGCCGCTGGATTTGGGTTGCCAAATCACCTGAATCACTAACCCGTCAATATTGATACATGAGGTACATTGGTACATTGGTCGTCTGCGTTCCATTATTCCATTAACATCTACAGACCAGTTTTGTTTTGATCATGTGCTTCAGATAGAGACTGAAAGTCCTGGTCCGGTGTTCTCAGCTTCATTCTCACCCCTTGTCGGAAAACAGATTGGAAAATAGAAGGAAGAAAAATTTGTAGTTGCTGGAATATTGATTCACCTATATTTGCGTGGTTAGACGTGGCCGTTATTTCATTCGCTTTTTTTCGTGTTCATAAGTTGCTACAATAATCTCCGTTGCTGTGTCATTAGCAGGAACTCATTGTTGCTTTTTTAATGGCTGTATCTACGGCTAAACGATTACTGTAGGGTCTGTTATTCACGTCAGTCAATTTATTTAATCGACCATCTAATCAATCCATGCTGCACCGCTGGTTGCGAAAGTACACGAGAAAGACAACTGCATACTGTCAGTGTTCATTTCAGGACAAAATTGCTAACCGCCATGAGATTATGTGCAAGTTTCACGCCTATACGGGAAACTTGAGCTAACTCACATGATCTGGTGATCAGCAGAAAAGCAGAACGACCAAATGCTTCCTTTCGATACCGGACGGCGGCGAAAGTATTTCACGTAGATATGATTTTGG